CTCATATACATATTTGGAGAGTATATACTAGCCACATGTACAACTTTTGATTGCCTATTTAAGTAGTCCATTTATTACTAAGTTCTATACTAGATGCTATATCTATATCCCAACTAGGTGTTATCTATTTAAACTCTTTGTATTTATGGGGTTAATCTTTATAACCGAGTGAGAATCTAATATAGACTTCTTATTTTCAAACACCTAGTTTAGGATTTTAAAGCAGGTTTTAACTATTTAAGAAAGCCTTTTATTCTTGAAGTAAACCTGCTAGAGCTTTCTGTATTTACAATTCGGCTAACCTAGACTTTAGTAACTTATGCCAAGTTCAAGGATAAGTACTTGCAAGCCAAAGCTGCTACTATTATCTACTTCTTGCAATACTCATTTTACAGACTATTATAAGTACTTTCTGAATTCTAAACTACCAATCTAAATAGCTCGAGAGAAACTTTTACCCAAAAGTTACTGGTCTCCTGGTAACTGCAAATTAAGCAGATCCTTTTCTTCTGGTTCTGGTAGCCTGGTTGGTGAAAGTACCTTCTCAAATATTTCGTTCATTCAGTTTTCCTAGTTTGACTTGGCTAGTTTGAACTACCAATCCAAATAGCCTGGAAGAGATTTTTACCTATAAGTTACCAATTCTTTATTAATTGCAATTAAGTAGATTCTTTTCCTCTAGCCCAAGCGGCCTGGTTAGTAGAGTACTTTTGCAATACATCTCGGTTCTGTTCAGTTTTTTAGTTTTTTCTAATGATAATTCTTTATGTAGTATTATCAAAAGTTTGTACTACCTCTACTCAGATCTTGCCAAACGAGTATCTATCTCTTCGGTTCTTGGTTTTATACAAATAATAATTCTTTCAGATATCTGATATGATCTTGGTTACAGATCCTAAATCTGACCGATTGATAAGAGACTAACCATTCTACAATAGAATATTCGAATTTTATTGACAGTGGGATTCGAACTCTAGATATACTGTTTGGAGTATGATAATTTCACCACTTTACTAAGTTGCCACATCCTTCTAGTATTTATTTAATATTTTTCCACTATATATAATATAAAATCATAATTTTTTTGTTAAGAAATCTTATCTGTTTGTTTCATTTTCTAATATTATATTTATTGTTCAGATCTTTGAAAGAACTGATTCAGTGTAAATTAGATCTGTTTTTTGGTCTCTTCCTTTCGAATTTCCTTACGAATAATTGATTAAAGCTTACACAAAGACTTCATTGTGATCATACCATTATCGATTTTTTCATCAACAATTCTCAGAGTATTGTGCAGAATTTTCAACTGCTTTTTTTCAGTTAAGGGTTGTATCATGATTTTATTTTTTACATATTCTATTTCTGTAGTATCTTGAATAAAATTATCATCATTAAACTGTTGATA